TTTTCAGCATTTACACAGATATCTCATAAACCAATCATGTTCAGTTTAGCAAGTCAATTACCTACTTGCATGAATGGGGTCATGTAACCTCATTATTATGCAAAACTGCAATAGCTAGCACTTTTTCAGATAGCGACATGCTACATGTGCCATATTAAATACATTGAACAAGAGATGTGAATAAAATCATACGATTATGGAATTTAAATAATATGCATATCTATGGCAGATATGCATGTGCAGTGAATCCTGTGATTAACCACTTCAGACATAACCAACATGTCCATGTATGGTCATGTGATCTCATTGATATGCATTATTGTATCTTAGACACTATTGCAATCAGGGATATGCATTCAGGACTATTGAAGGCATTAGATGAGAGATATTACTAGTACTTACATATATGGAAATATATGGTCAAGTGACCTAATTAATTAATATGCATTACTGTAATAACACCGATGCATGTAGTAAAAATCAACAATGATGGCATCTGACAATACAACAGATGACCATATAGTCAACTTTACCTTTCTTTCACTAAAGATAACATTTCAGCTGCCACATCGCAAATTGAAAATTGCCAATCTAACATCAAGGCTTGGATGGTTAACAACAAACTACAGCTAAATGATGGTAAAACAGAGATATTGCTAATCCGTTCAAAATTTGACCTATTTCCCAACCCCTTGCATGGTATCAACATTGGATCAACACTCGTTAAACCGGTTAAAGCAGCTCGGACCTTATTCACAAAAATCAAAACCAGAGAACCCTTCGCTCAAGTAAGAAACATACACTTGCCATACCTAGAACTCATCTCAAGAATTATGGTGACCGGTCATTTGCCCATTCCTCACCGTCTTTATGGAATCAATTACCAAATGACATCTGTTCTGCACCAAATGTTAACATCTTCAAAACCAAACTCAAATCTTACCTGTTTCAGCAAGCCTGTCTGTGAAACTAAGCGTCGTTGAGCATCACTGCGATGGATACTAGGCGCTATATAAACTTGTATTTATTATTATTATTATAGTCATGTGACCTCATTTTATTATGCAAGCCTGTAATATCTTGGTCACTGTAGACATGCAATCAGTGCAATGTTGTAGGCATCAGACGAGAGTTGACAGACCTGACATACTTGGTCATGTGACTTAATTAATATGCATAACTGTAATTGATTAAGCACTGCTGCTGATAGTAACTAACATAGAACTAGTGCAATAATGTATGCATTGGACAAGAGATGTGACTAATGTATCAGATGACCATATATAATCATGTGACCTCAATAATATGCATAACTGTGATACATGTTTCTAAAATACTGTTTCAATTCGGGACATGAAACCAGCACTGTAATTGTGCTATCGCACAAAATATATCACCAAAATATCAAGTCCTTGTTTATGATCATGATTTCTTTAAATATTTCTGAATGTTATACTATAGCCACTGAGAACCACCCTGATCACTGCTTCTTACAGTTATTTACAAAGTGTGCATGAACAATTAACATGGGCAGGAAATCAACAAAATAACTTTGTATTTGTTTTATTTGCAAGATTTACTATTATATTCATTACTTTTCATTTCGGCATGTCATTACCAACATGACAAGCAAAGTCAATACATCCTATAAGACTCCTATCGGATTATAAAGTATTCCTATAAGAATATTTTCATGGGATCTTTCAATATTTTGACCCCTTGTCTATAGAAATACTAAATAAATCGTATACAAGTACATTTCAAATCATCCAGAATTTGGTTTTCTTCATTTTTCGCTCATATTTATTTTCTGTGTGTACTTATATTCAGATACAGTGAAAGGCGCTAACAAGAAACGAGCATTTGGAAAAAATATCTCAGATGTTCAAAGCAGGTAAGTGTCAACTTTTTATATTTTCAACTTCTTCTTGAAAACTACAATTCTTATTGCTTTGATACTTGGTGTATATGATGCATACCTTTCTTAGATTTGTTTATTTCGTGTTGATAACTTGTAATTCTGTAATTTTGACGAATATTTTTGTCATTTTTGGTAAAAGTGATATTTCTGACTTCTTGTTGAAAACTGCAAGTTTGATGGCTATGATATTATACATATAAATACTTCATGTGTACCGATCTCGGATTTGTTTATTTTGTGATATCTTTAATTCTCTAATTAGTCCCCGTTCGAACGAAGTTCAGGGACTTATAATTCTGTCTTCATCCGTCCGCCCATATGCGCGTCTGTCTGGAGTCATATTTCAGAATCTTTTGGATCGATTCTGTTCATTCTTTGCATGTGTCTAGTACTTTATGCGGGACATGTGCACATGCAGTGGTTTAGCGATGGCCAACTGGCAGCCATTTTGTATTTTGGACATGCTTTGTCATTCAAATTTGGTACATAGATTATGGGCATATGGACCTTTTACACTAATAAACTGACGAACTATCCCCCCCCTGCGGGGGGAGTTCTTTTAAATTTATGATGTAGATGGGCAAGCGTAATTCACAGATAGATCACCATTGTTGACACCCCCTGCCATGTGAATTTAAATTAGAGGCATAACAAACGTTAAATTGTATTCAATGCATTATTTTGAACTGATATTTATTAAAACTGCAAATTTGAGGACACTGCCTTCACCATATTATTCAACACAAGAGGGCGCTTATCTTGTACAAAGGGTCTATTAGCCACTTTAGTCTAGAACTTACAATTACAAAGAGTTGCAATTGCTGTATTCCCTATCTCAGAATCTCAAATTCGGTCATTACACATATTTTAACATTGTAAGCCCCTTGTAAAGATTTATCGTAGGGCACCATGGCAACAAGCATTCATATTCATATTCATGAGATGTATGGTAATGTAATTTTAGTGCCTCATTCCCATCCTCAGACTTGCATTTTCTCAAACATTTATTAAACAATTTTAGCAAGTGAAATAACATAGACATGCACCTCAATTTGTTTTACTTTCACTTGTGATCTATGTTTTTCTTTGCTATGTCTTAAACCGAAGGGGTCATCATGCAACACGTGTTCGAATTTGATGTAAATAAACAATCTGTTGTATTTTACGCTTGGAACTCAAGTTTCAAGAACACGCACACGACAACCCCTCTGCTTTAATATGACGAGCACAAAGAGAACTTTCAAAAATTTCAAAGCAAATAATATACACAATTACAATTATAGTAATTACATTGTACATATCACCAGAATTTATGATTAGGTCTGTGGAAACACAGTTGAAGTCTTGTCAAAATTCAAAATATTATCTTCATTGTCGAATGTGTTCGATCGTATACAAACTGTTGATGCAATGCATTTTTCACTACAAGCAACAATGTCCTTTGACCTAATAGGTCAGGTCTGTTATTAATCATAATGCTGCATCGTAGCAACACAGTTCTCTGGGGAAAAAAGGCATTTTAGTAAGGTAGTGGAAAGTGAATTATCAAACGATCTGTTGGAATTGATTTTGGCAAAAAAAAGGCTTGATTGTGTTAAAAAACTGGTAATTTGTTATTTTTGAAAGATAAACTGAGTAAGGAATGTGTATTTACCGTCTTTCACAGTTGTTAACAGGTCATTGGTGAAGTATGGTTTACACATAGTTACGCATTTACAAGATATTCATTGTGGTCGATATCCACGCTGTATTGTATGGATTTGATTCCCTTGTATTCGGATAAAAAAACATGTTTTATGACTAGAACTTCAAATTTAGGGCATTTTGGAGAAGATGGGTGCTTAGCCAAATGCCTTAAATGGAAATGCCCTAAAAGCCGGGTGGGTGCTTAATTGAGTGTAGGGTGCTACATGTAAGTCAGACGATGACTGATGGACAGAATTAGGTTAGAAAAATGTTTGTTTTACAAACCAGTATGATGGAAATATATTCAAATGATCAAGCACTTTTGTATAAAATACATGCATTGTGGAACACATTCTGTGTTAACGTCATTAGGTTCAGTGGTGTAGTGGCCATTTTGTTTTACTGAATGTGGTTCAAGAGCTGTATCTCTGACATGCCTTGGCTGATCATGCTCAAAATTTGTATATTTATCATACATAAGCACATTAATTTGTTTGATGATGAGATTCAGGAGAATAATGGCCATTTTAATGTTAAATCAAGCATTTCTAGCATATATTTGTTTCATGTTCCTATTCATGATTTATTCATTTCAGTTTTACAATTGAACTAACTCTGTCATGTCATATGTTGATTGAGCCTTACAGAAGCCCCTCCCACATCAACAATGGTGACAATAGTGGCCCATGGCACCAATGAAATGTCTTGAAATTAGGCACCATTTTGGCACCATGAATCAATGACTGTTGCAACATTTTGCATGACCATGTTTTTCATATGAGTGATTGTCGTCGTCGTCGTCGTCGTTCGTGGCATGTTTTACTTTTTCAACTTTTCTTGAAAACTACAAGCCTGAATGCTTTGATACTTGGTGTATATGTACCTTGGGTAGACCTATCTTAGGTTTGTTCATTTCATGTTGATATCTTAAATTCTCTAATTTTGGTGAATATTTTTGTCATTTTTGGTAGAAAGTGATATTTTCGACTTGTTAAAAACTGTAAGTCCGATTGCTTTGATACTATACATATTGTTCATTTTCTAATGATGTCTTCAGTTCTTTAATTGAAATGTGCATTGCTATCAGCGGAGCTATCTCAGCCGATAGGCTGCTATTTCAGTTACGCATGGTGTGTAACCATTCATAGAGTTCAGAATTGAATTACAGAATTTTTTTTGAAGACAGACCTCCCCAGCAGTCAACAAGTTGACACAACTCGATTTTGGGTGATTCCATTTTGTCTAAGGATTCCGAAAAATTCTGTTCTGTTAATGGGCTCTCTGCTGCCAAGGTCTTCAATTTGTTAAACTCACTGTCCTGATTGTTCCATTTCAGAAGCATTACCCCAGAAGATGACCAACTGGTAACATTTACGATGAAACATGGCCCAAGACGTGAAATGGTACAGTGTCATACGAGCGACAGTTTAATAGAAGCTATCATAAACCATCAAAAACAAATAAAAGGCGGTGATCAAGATTTCAACTTTATTTTTGTTGAGATCATTGAGGGAAAAGAGCTGAAGCCAACAATTCCTAATTTAGGAATCCCTGCTAAACTAATATCAGATAAAACCATTGTTTGTGAAGTGAAATCTCCTGGCGGGTCTAAGCAACAGTTGAATCCTTCTTCTTTAATAAGAAAATATGGAAGGGGTAAGAATCTGTACACATTGTACATTTCAAGTGAAACTGTTGGACCTACAAACAAAAGTTTTCTAGTGTATCCCAATCACTATTCCAACTGCCGAATCCGCATCGATTTTACTGAGAATGAGAGTCTGTTAGATGCTTTAACTATGGATGGTCGATTCACTGCTAATTTGAGTAATTTTGTCTTAGTAGATGAAAGTTATGGAACAGAAATTTACTTGTTCCACAAGGCTTTTTCTTACAAAGACAAAACATTGTCTCTTAAGCATTTAGGTAAACACGTTGCTGTAACAAACAGTAGGTGACGGGTTCAGTTGTTGATGGAGATGATGCGTCCAATTCTCCTAAAACTCCACGCGCGACAGGTTTGAGAAAACCTAACCTAGTAGCATTAGGGGATGTAAATCGCATTGCTAAACTGGTGGGAAGAAAATATAAATTGAATTTGCGGAATAGAACAAGGTCAGAAACCGAAGCGCAGAAAATCAATGAAATCTATTGGCAGACTTACAGTTTATATAATGAGCCATGTCGTGTTTCTGTGATAAATGAGTATCAGTATTCTGTTGGGATCATTTACTGGTCTGATAAAGATGGAAAATTATATAATGCAACTTGTTTCCGACTTGGTGAGAAAGCCTGCTGTATCCTGACAAACAGACATGTGCTCTTTAATATTGAAAATTCTGTACGTGAACAGGGCATGCATTTAGAAAATGTGAATGTCCGTTTTAATTTTGTTAAAGGCAAGCTTGATCCGAATGATCCCAATAACTTTAAGTTAAAAGGCGAGAATAATATGCCTGCCATACTCTTTGAAAGTCCAAATGATAAACTAGATTATGTGATACTGAAGCTGGATAGTCCTCAGGGAAGCAGCTTTTCAAGCACTGGTCTGTTTTCACCTCCACCTCCACCCCCACTTGGCCACCTGCTTCCATCTTCCATGCCCGATATGACTCTATTGTACATCATGGGGTATTCTGAAACACGACAGTTAACGATGGAATCGTGTGTTACCTTGGATCTTATGGATGCCAGAAATGTTCCCACTTATATCCGCGCACCTCATGGTCAGTTACCAGACACTGACTCTGTATTTCAACAAACTTCCCTACTTCATGGAGCTTCAGGCAGTCCAATTTTCACTTGTAAAGGGCAGTTAGTTGGGGTACATACCCGCGGTTATTTTCGTGTAAATTCCTCTCGGAGTGAATTTGAACAAGGGGTAACACTCGAAGCAATAATTAGAGATGTTCAGTTGCAAATTGATGCAATGACTGAGGGCAAAACTGAATATGAAGCATTGTTTCAGGATCTGTTTCCTAACGAGCATGCGACTATTGCCGACAGTGTTTCACCAACTTCACCCTAACCTCATTGTGAGAAACATTTCATACATTCTAACAAAGTTTTTTTTTTTTTGAGTGGGATACAAGTTTTCCCATGTTTTCAGCTGGTCTGTATGCTAATACTGTATGTTTAATTTTACTTGCTGCAAACGAATGCATTATTATTTTTGTATCTTGACTGTAGTGTAAATCACAATGCAGTAGAAGAACTGAACAAGTTCTTTTGTTGGCATATTAACTTTAAGTATATACCTTTTTTTATGAAAGACAAAACTTCATAAATGTTTTTTGGAAGTTTGACTTTTTAGTACATGTATTATATCTGCTTGCTTCTTTTTAAAGATATTGTCATAAAAGTGTATTTCAGTTTTCTATGGCAATGTTTTATGAAACGTATTTATTTTTGTGATCATTTAGATATTTTTATAGCAATGGAGAAAAAAAATTCCCTCTTCAAAATTTTTTTTCTGTTTAGAATAAACATGATATGCCAACAAGAATATTTTTCATGTATACTTTAGTGTTGATGAGGATGTTTTGAAAGTATGACATTAGGTCTGATGGTGCTATCTGGTTTTGCCACAGTCCCTCTATCACATGATAGAGGGACTGTGGTTTTGCATACACTGTGGGTGAGTAAATCTAAAAATAAATTGAGATCTGATAGCAAATGCTCGCTTTATTTTATTAACCACCCCCCCTCCTCCCATCACATGCGTTGAATGGTAATAAAAATAAGATTAAGAGCACAGATTTCTTTAACAATAAAAAGTTGCGTTTCCCCTTCATTGATTGAATAAGAGTCTAAGGAGGACTAACAATCCCTATACACGAGTCTATACAAGTTTTGGAAACTTTCATTTTGACAAAATGGAAGTGTTTGGTCATTAGCAGGCAAAAGTC